TCATGTATCGTCTGCAAAACATAAGTTATTCAAAACTTCTCCATTGATAGATATACCTTCTATTGAGTCTGAGAGCGCTTCTTGAAATACCGCTTCACTGTATACATTGAAAAGTAGTGGGGACAGCACGCAACCCTGGCGGACTTCTCTCTGTATTTTGATATTTTCGGTTTACTGGCTGTCAACTCTTATCTTGGCAGTTTAATTCCAATATATATATATATATTAGTTTTGTCCCGTATCCAGCTCTAAATCCTGCTTTCTCGCAAGGTGATAGAAGTCTAGTTTTGATGTCTACCTATTAGTTATTATCTTCATAAACAACTTATAAACGTGAGATAACAAGCTAATAGGTCAATAGTTCTTTAGCTCAGTTATATCTCACTTTTTATGCATGACTACTATAACACCTTTATTCCGCTGATATGGTCTTAATAACGATTTGGTCATCACCAGCTGCTTTATCGTTTTTCATTCGATTTATCTAGACACATTCTAGACTTTTCTCAACTTGGTGCCGTCTTCCTTACCCCTTTCTCTATATAATTCTGTGTAAAATTCTTCAACTACCTTAATTATCTTATCTTCATCTGTTACCACTTTTCCATTTCGATCTGCGAGCTTAACAGTATTCTTCTTACCTACCTAGAGTTTAACATCTCTTCAGCACCTTTAAACTTTTATTTTCTTCGACAACCGTTGTATTTGTTCTTAAGTTCTCTTCATGTTTCCATAAGTCTTTTTGTCTCTTGATTGATTTTTTCCTCCTTATCTCTCTTAGGATTTGTATTGCACTTTTTCTCTGCGTTTTTAATATTAAATATTAAAATTAATAACCTTAATTAATTTAAGGATGGTTTTTTTGTTAAGCTTTAGCTTGATACCTTTAACTTGTTGGATAGTTTTATACATAATTTATACATATTTTATACATACGTGTCTCTTATGTATAAGAAGTCCAACTCCTCCTATTTTTTCTTTGTTGCCCATATAGAAAAGATGATGCCCTGATTTAAGAGTTATACAGTTTTCTTCTTCGCGTCTTACTTCACAGAGACCCATAACGTCCCATTTTATGTGTTTTAACTCTTCTTCTAATACCAGTAATTTTTCTTCAGGTGACAGTGTTCTTACATTGTACGTGGCGATATACATATGTCGTTGTCCGTGGTAGCTTGATCTGACCCGGGGATTCCTTGCACCCTCTCTTTGATGTCTTTTTGATCGCTACCTTGACCAAAGTTCAGCTTACTGCCAGGAACTGAGGGCCGTGTTTTTGTCTTGTCAAGCATGGTTGGTAGAAGGTGGGAGTTTTAAAAGGGAGAGATAAGAAAAATTTATGAGAATCTGGCCCCCTTAGGCAAGGAAGGAGGAAGAACCAGAAGCTAGCATAAGGCAGGGTCACTAATCCCTGCAGCAGCCTGTCTTCTACTGGGATTGTAGAAAAGTGCTACCTGCCATCTACTAGCCTAGTGATACGCTATTGATAGGTGTTAAGAGTATTTTTTTGAAACATAGTTATAACTGTGATTGGTTTTTTGTTGGCAGAAGACGTTTGTAAATTTTTGACTAAATTTTGTCTAACTTTTGTCACGATCATTAATGTTTTATCCATATGCTAAGTGACTCACATGTGCGTCTTTGACTTTTTAATTGCAAAAAGTCATTATTGTTGAATGAAACATTTACTGGAAGTTTTAATAGAAGGTATATTACAAGAATATAATAATTACAAATGCTTATCATTATGAGACTGTACAAAACAATTTCTAATAAAAAGGCCAGGTTTTCCAGGTCAGAAGCTGCACTCAAATATGGTGTCTCTCATGGATTCACTTAATTCATCTTCACTAGATGAATCATTTAATATATTATATAATTCTTTAGTACTATATTTTGATCTTCTACAATGTCCACATTTAAATGTGTACATTTTAACACACGTAAGTACTTTATTTTGATCTTTTACAATCTGAATTATTTGCATTCATTTTAACACGTCAATAGTTTGATAGTTTGGCATTTAAAAAGCACGGCCACCTAAAATCTGCATTATCTTCTCTACTAATATAATAATAATTATTTAAAATAAAAAAGTTTAATTACAAGAAATAGAAGAAAGCTAATTTAAATATAGAAAATACAATAAATTAATAAATTTGATATGACAAAATAAAGATAATACAGAATTTAAATTTAAATAATTTTATGAATTAGTTTTTGTATTTGGAGAAAAATTTTTTGAGAACTGTTTGATAAATAGGGTAACAGATAGTTTCCTCTACAGCTCTTTCAAAGAGTAAATTTTTATAAACAAGGGTCTTTATGAGACGTTGAAAAACATCGGTATCTTAAAAACTCACATGTGCGTCATTAGCATTTAACTGAAGCAATATTTTGACGTTCATAGGCATGAATAGCATGCAATGTTTTAAGACTATCTTTTAGCTTGTTCTGTGGCGATGTTATATCTTCACCAGTATTGAGTTTTACGATTGATTGGTGGTGGTATATCTGTATACTTGTTTATTGATTTTATATAAATGTAATTGTCTCATGTTTGGATGTTCATCGGCGACCTGTACTTCTTCAGCAAGATTTTTTGCCCAATTTATTTTGTACACTCATTTTGTGTAATACTTTAGGTAAATATAAAATAAAAACTTTGTCAGATACCTGGATAAACACAAAAACTTCAACATTTTTTTTACTTATTTCCCTGAGGTAAATAGTTATTAGGGTTCTACATTGATTCATAACAAACACATTTAAACAGCTAGATTATATTTATTGAATATAGAATTTATTAAACAAATGTATACACAATCTCAAAATTAGTAGCATTATTTTAACAGGTTAACTGCCAGAGCTAATACATAAAACTTTAATTTTTACTGACTATACTACCGTTATACACTACCTTATGTGTTTATGAAGTCAACGTGAATTTGGAAATTGGATTATTTTGTATTTTGATTGGCATTTTTAGCGTGTGTATTATAGGATACACCGGCCTCTGAGATAGTTTTTCCAAAACAAATGGACATAGGGGCCAATGTGTCCTACACATTTTATTCACTTCACTTTGAAAATATTTTCCATTGTTAAGAGAATCATTTTTAAAATGGGCGAATAAAGTGATTTACTAAAAATAGTATTAATAAACTAAGACTTTTTATATTAGAATTAAAAAAAGAACAATTATACCTATAGTAGTGAACAAATAATAATAATAATAATAATGGGCTTTTCAAGTGACGATCCGTATGACGATCGTGATTTTATGCCAAGTGAGACAGAAAAGTCAGATTTAGATTTTATTGGGTATTCCGACGAAGATTCTGATCATGAATTGACTCTGCGAGTATCTTAATCAGCTTCTAGTCCAACCTTCAGGGATGACAACAATCAACCATGTACATCAAAGATTAAAAATCAGTTAAAGAATGTAGTCTGGGAGATGTGTCAAGAAAATAATGCAAATCAGTTTGAATTTATTGCAGAATATAAAAGTGGTCTGAAAGAAATATACAAAGCAATGTTTGCAAATTCTAAACCATTGAAACAATTCGAACTATTCTTAACTGACGACATTTTTACGCCACTCAAATATTTACAACTAGTCAAGATATCTCTCGGCGATCCAGACTTCATCAATTTCGACCAGTTGATAAAGCGGATTTATTTCTTGCTCTTGTTGGATGGATAAGATTGGTAAAAGTACCAGTTCTTCGCGACTATTGGCAAAGAAATAATTTATATAATTATATAAATTATTTCATATCCAGAAATTATGTCCAGAAAAAGATTCGAAATCATTTTGAAAATGCTTCATTTATCGGAGAATGCGAAAACCCAAGAAAATAACCGATTATATAAAATACGGAACGTTAACAATATGTTTATCAGCAATTTCCAAAAAATGTATACGCCTGGAAAAAAAATTTGTATCGACGAAAGTCTGATTTCATGGAAAGGACAATTGCTCTTCCAACAGTATATACCTATTCAATAAATGACACAAATGTGGCCTAAAAATTTTTAAGTTGTATTGTGACAAAGGATACACATGAAATGTCAATATACTGTGAAAGATAAAAAAATGGAGAAATTGGCTGCTGAGAGTGTAGTAATGGTGCTCACTGGTGGACAATTACTAAACTAGCCTTTCATTGGCATATCGTCTGCTAAACCTAAATACCCACTTAGTTTATACATTCAGACTAGAACGGAAATATTTGTCACACCATGTTGTTACTGCCAAACTAAAAAAAGGAGAATTTGCTGCCAGCATGTGTAAAGATAGTAGTATTATTTTGAAATAGAGGGATAAGAGAATTGTTTCTGTACTTACTACAAAGTATTCTACATAGACTGTAGAACAGACTATAAGTTCTGGAACTAACATTACCAAACCCAAGTGTATAGTTGGGAGAAACAGGAAAGTCTTCCATCGATTTGAGCGACCAAATGGCGTTATGTAGTAGAGCATTGAGACGCTGTACCAAGTGGTACAGAAAATTATTTTTCAAAATTATATGAGGAACTAGCATTGTTAATGCTTATTTTTTATACAACAATATATCACCACGAAAAACTAAAGGAAGGTATTTGGAATGCTACAAAAGGTGTGTCAAAAAAGGAACTGTGTATGACGGAAAAATCAAATTTGCAACTCAAGCAGAAATAATGTGCATCAGTTGCTATACAATGTTTTGTTTAACGTGCTTTAATAAATATTATTAGTTAGTATTTATCAAAAATGTTTATCAAAAAACCCACAACCCATTAGCGTCAGATATCCGTTGGGACCACTACAACACGTCTTCAATGTAAAATGCTTTAAACTGTGTATTCTAAGGAAACACCAATTCACAATCTATGGTCCACTGGTGTGTGTCCTATAAGAATCACTGGACTCTGGCAGAAGTCTAGCGTGTGTCCTACAGGAAACACTGGCAGTCAACCTATTAATAATAAAATAATTGTTGATAAATTTTTTATTGAATATCCGGTTGAACAACATCTGTTGTACCATCTAGTGCGTCATGTAGCGTACCAGCTAACTTTTTCTGTTCCTCTTTGAGCTCCTTATTAGCTTTAGTAAACTCTTCTTTAAGTTTTTTAATCTCAGTTCCTTTATCTTTTATTTCATTTTTGTTTTCTGTGCAACAACTCATTAATTTGCGTAGTTCTGTTTTTATTTCCTCAATTTCTTCATTTTTCTTGTTTAACATTGTCTGTACATTCGACAAAGAGTTTGTAAATGACTCTTCTTTTTGTTTGAAGTCATTTTTTATTTGTTCTATTTCTTTTTTTAAATTATCCATTTCACGGTCACTTTCTTTTTGCTTATTATTACACTTGGTAATATTTTCTTTAAGAATATCAATGTTTGCGTCAGCTTTATTTGATGCCAAATTTTTGTTCTGCAAATCTGTTTTTAACTGTATTAATTTCTAAAATTAAATTGCTGATCTTAGTTGATTGTTCGTTAAAATTTGTTTTAATTTCATTTTCCGCTTTATTCACAAATTTCAATGTATCAGAATGTGCATCATCTAATTTATTTTCAATTCTTTTAACTTCTTTCTGCAAAAATTCTACATGGTTAACTAAAGTTTTATTAATGGATTCTAGTTGATGATTTATTTCGGTGTTACCTGCAATTTTTTTGTCTAAATCTGCCATTTCGTTTTGAAGATTATTTATAGCGCTTTGGTGCGTTTTGAGTTTATCATTTATTGAGCCTTTATCTTGCTTTAAATCATCAAGTATTTTATCAATTTTTTGAGAGGTCATATTCTGTTTTGCAAAATTTTTTTCTGTTTGCATAATTTTTGTATCTAGTGCATCTATTTTGTTTTCAATTTTATCGTTTTCTTGTTTTTTAGAATTTTCTAGCTCCAATTTTAGATCAGTAAATTTTTGGCTTATGTTTTTCTCTAAATTAAGAACTGTTTCATCACATACCGCACTAGAGTTTTTATAGGACAATAAAGCTGCCTTAATTTTATCCGTTATAGTTTTATCAACAACTTTAGATATACCTTTCATATTATTTTCTAATTTTTGAAATTTTTCTTCATAAATATTATCCTTCTTTTTTATAGTGTCATTTATAAACTCAACATTTTCCTTAACCATATTTTCAAGATTTAATTTCTGTGTAAAATTTTGCTGTACATTAGTTATTGCGGCAGTTACATTCTGTTTAATTTTTTCTATTTCTTCGTCAAATGTTTTCTTCTTTACAAATGAGACATCAGCATAAAGACCTGCTTCTTGTAAAATATTTGTTTTAGCTTTCCGCATATTTTCATTGATTCTTTTCTCAGCATTGTTTACAAGATCAGTAATATTTTTGAATAGTTCAGCAGCTGCTTTATTAAACTTAGCTTCTATGTCATTAAATTTTGAATAAATGCGTTTTCTATCGGTTGTTAATTTGTCCTCTAGCTGTTTAAGTCTCTGTGCTTCTTGCCGTGCTATTTGTTCTACAATCTCTCCAAACTCCTTCTTTAATTCACTTAACTCTTTCGACAAAGTTTTCATTTGTTCATTTAAGACCGTTTGAATCTCGTTAATTTTTGAAGTTATAGTATTATTTATGATAGACATATGAATGTTGGTTTTTTCATTTGAATCGGATGGGGCTGTACCATTCAAAGTCGTGTGACAAATATGTTGATCTTTTTTGTACAAATTAAACAAATTAGTTAAACTTTCAATCTTGTTATCCACCATATTAACCTTTTTAATGATAGTATCATTCAGCTCTGTATATTTTTGTTTAAAAGCCACTAATATTTCTATGTCACTTTTCAACTTCGTGATATCATTTACTTGTTGATTGATGGTCTTTTCAATTTCAAGTATTTTTTCTAAAACATTTGTAAAATTAACAGATATTCTAGTAGCACTCTCTACCGAGTTTTCTAATTTTAATAAATGTGATTTAATGCCATCTATAGTACTTGCCAATATGATATTATCCTTTTGCAGTTCATGAATTAAACCATTTGTTTCTTGTTTAAGCATTAAAGTATGTAAAAAATTTTTACTTGTGTTGTATCTAATAACTTCTACTTTAAAATCTAGGTTTCTTATTACGTTTTCTAACCTATCAATGTCATTACCTCTGTTCTTCCAAAAACCAAATAAGTCTACAATTTTTTGGTTCATTTCTGTCTTAAAATGTTCTATATTTTGTTCTACACGTTTGTTACTCACATTTAAGAGGGTTACCGCACCACGCAAAAAATTCATCCGATTTGAAAACTCATTTGCTTTTTCAGACAAATCCAGTGTGCCAACTTTAACAGCATTAAGCGACTCTTCAAACTCCTTATTTTTATTTAGCATCTCAACGAAAACTTTATCTACTGGTATCTCTGATTTTCCCATTTGTATATGTTGGATCACAGTTTGGTTTAAGTTGATAATGGTTTCCATCGTAGAAATGCGCGAATTTAGAGCAACAAGACTATGTTTGTTATCAAGAATAATTTGTTGATATACCTGTAAAATAGCACCAAGGTATTTAGGGTCATTAAAATACTGAGCCTGTATTTGCAAATTAAGATCCGAGGAAGCAATTTTTAAGTCACAGTCTTCAAGAATAGCTTCTGTCACTAGCTTTTTGGAACGTAGAGGGAAAACTGGCTTATTTATAGTCTTGGTAGGCCTATTTTGATTCCCGAATTTGCTAAAAGACACTACATAGTCATTATCTTCGATGTACCATAATTGTTTATTTTGACATACCGAGTAGTCTACCAGCCGTACTGCAAATGACAGATCTAATTTTAAATCGTAATAAAACAAATAGGTTAAGTTTGTGGGTAACGTCCAGATATCTACTCTACCATCAAAAATTTGTTGCAATTTGTCCGGGCACATGCCTTTTATAACGGGTTCCACTTTCCAAACAACTGCGTAGTTTATGTTAACTGATGGGTCGTAGCAGAATCCTCTACTGTATCGACATATTGTTCCAGACCTTGAAATAGATATAAAAATTAATATAAGCGACAAAATGAATGTAATTACTTATGCTAAATACGAAAACCACATTTTGGTAATTAATGTAAGATAATAAAACCTTAGAAAACCTAGAAAAAACACACTATGTTATCATCACCAGAGATTTTAATGCAAAAATAGAGCGGCGAATACCAGGCGACTCAGACTACATAGGAAATTTCGGTCTAGGTAACAGAAACACCAGAGGAGAGATATTAGCAAATTACGTAAGCACCGAAAAATTGTTTTGCCTGAAGACATTCTATAAAAAACAAATACAAATAAAGTGGACATGTCGTAGCCCTAACGGTCAGGTTAAGAATGAATTAGATTTAATCCTTTCCAGTGATAGATCAATATGTAAAAACATCGAGGTGTTGAACAAATTTAACACCGGTAGTGATCATAGACTAGTTCGTGCTGATATACGTATTAACGTAAAGAGAGAAAGACGGAAACTATTAACAACAAACCCTTTACCGACGGCAGACATCCTAGCCAGTAATAAAGAGAAATATCAAGAGGAATTAGGACGGAAACTAGAAGCAAATACCTTTGAGCACAAGAATATAGATGAACTAGCTGAGAAAATAACTAAAGACAAAACAAACAGTCACTAAAAAACTTTGTTGCAGAATAAGAAAACAAAAAGAAGCTAAACTAAAACCCGAGAATTTAAAACAGATAGAGAAAAAAAGAAGAACAAACAGAGATAACCTGGACTACAAAGGGCTCAACAAAAGCGTTAAAATAATATTCGAAAAGGCCTCAGAGCTTATAGAACAAACCAGATTCTTGAAACCATAGAGAACAATAAGAACATGAAAGTACTGAAAACATGTAAATCCATTGGCAGCAATAAAATCATAAAGATAAAAGACGACCGTGGAACATTGAAATCCGAAAATTTTATGAGAAGCTATATACTTCTACTATTCCGAACCCTGGTATACCAACAAAATATATCTTAAATGTTGGCTCAAAGGATCTCCCTGAAATAATAACATCAGAAATTAGAGCCGCCCTAAAACAAATGAAAAATGGAAAAACACCAGGAAAAGATAAAATTACTTCGGAGATGCTAAAAATGGGAGGCACTTCATTAGGAGGCAATGCGAGCATTACTGAATATTGGAAGGACAAATATCAAATACATGGAAAAATGCGGAAGTCATTCTACTCCATAAAAAAGGGGACGCCGCAAATATAGAAAACTACCGACCAATAAGCTTATTGTTACACCTATACAAACTACTAACCCGAATAATAACAAATAGATTGACAGCTAAACTAGATGCATACCAACCAGTGGAGCAAGCAGGCTTTCGTAAGGGTTTTAGCACTATCGATCACTTGCAAACAATCCGGACAGTTATTGAAAAAACAATAGAGTACAACATACCACTACATCTGGCATTTGTCGATTATCACAAAGCATTCGACAGTATCGACAAATAGGCTTTCGTAACAGCATTGGACGACGCCAGAGTAGATTCGAGATATGCTGCTCTCCTTAAGAATATACGATGATGTTACTTTTCACGTAAAAATAGATGATGATCTGGAAACTATGAAAATGGACCTTGGCAAAGGTGTGAGACAGGGTGACACCATCTCACCCAAATTATTTACTTTGGCATTAGAAAATGTTTTCAAAAACTAAATTGGGCCGAAAAGGGATTAAAAGTAGATGGAATATATCTTAACGATTTGCGTTTCGCAGACAACATAGTACTAATAAGCACAGATATCCATGAACTGAAATCAATGCTACAAGATTAAAATCACAAATCGAATCAAGTAGGATTAAAAATGAACCTCGACAAAACAAAGATATTAAGCAACAGCCTAGAAAACATCACGATAGATAACATCAATATAGAAAAGGTAGACCAATATATATATATATATATATATATATATATATATATATATATATATATATATATATATATATATATATATCTAGGACATGCAATTAAAAACGAAAAGGAAAACCAAACCCTAGAAATTAAAAGAAGGACACAATTGTTATGGGCTCTTTTTGGTAAATTGAGCTTTATTTTAAAAGACAAAAAAATCCCAATTCACTTAAAACGAAAAACCTATGACACTTGTATACTACCAATTGCAACTTATGGGTTGGAAACTATGGCAATAACAAGAAAAATGGCAGAACAATTTAAGAGTAACTTAACGGGCCATGGAGAAGGCCATGTTAAATATAAGCCTCAGAAAAAAAATTCCTAACAGCGAAATACGTCAAAGCACTAAAGTAACCGACATCATGGGAAAAATAGTGACATTTAGAAAAAAAAAGAAGCGTAGGAAGACCCAAAAAGAGATGGATAGACGATCTAACAGTTGTTGCTGGAAAACAGTGGATAAGAATTGCAAAAGATAGAGAAGCGGGGAAGCAATTATAGGAGAAATGTATAACAATGGATAAATGAAGGCTGAAGAAGAAGAATAAAACCTTACAGATTAATAGGTGATGAATTCTACCGTTACTTAATTTAAATTTATTTCATCTAACAATAAGCCACTGAAAACATTTGAATTTGAAAGAATTTGAAATTGATCATTGTAAGAATGATTATGGTTTCGAAGGTGAAGTGCAAATATATATCAGAAAGGATTGTAACAGCAAAGATGAAAATGGGGAAAGACGATCTGGACATCATCGGAGTATACAACCCAGATATACAACGAACTTAGAATAGACAACACATTTTTTGACTACAAGGACCAATATAAATATATATTAAATAACACCCGTGAACAAAGTTATGTGATAAATTCTGTTATAACGAACAAATGTATACATCCATCAAAATTAATTGACATAAGATGCCTCAACTCAGCAGATGTAGATAGCAGCCTAGTATTATGTAAAATAAAAATTATCAAGAAATACCTCATATCCAAGAGAGCGGCGTCAATACAATCAAAAATCAGAGTCGAAGGACCAAATACGGAATCCACGGACTACTTACAAAAACAAAGAATAAAATATTAAAAAACGGTAATATCAAGGAAAGCTGAAAATAATTAAAAAAAAACATAATTAACGCAGCAACGGAATTACTTAGAGTAAGAAAAGTAACGAACACTTCTTTCTTCTTCGCGTGCCGTATCAGAATTATCCGACGTTGGCAATCACCATTGCGATGGCTTCTCGATCTTCTGCAATATGGAATAATTGTCCTGCATTTTATATCTGAGTCCATTCACGAATGTTTTTTAACCAAGAAACTTGTTTTCTTCCTACACCTCTACGGCCCTCTATTTTGCCTTTAAGGATCAGTTGTAATATTTTATATCGACTTTCCCTCTGCTCTTTAGCAGATCTCTATCTTTGTTGACGCTCTTTATTACTTCTTTATTAGTTTTTCTTGCTGCGTATATATCTTCAGCATTCGTCTATGAACCTACACTTACAATGTTTCAATTTTGTTTATTACCGATACCTTTAGCGTCCACACTTCTGCACTATACAAAAGTACGGACCAAACATAGCACTTAACCATTCTTTGTCTTAGTTCTAAACTGAGATGGAAAGAAATGACCATTTTCATAAAGTAGTTTTAGTCATTGCTATTCTACGTTTTATTTCTATGTCTGGATCTAGTTGGTTCGTTATTACAGTTCCCAAATATGTCAGTTTGTGAACTTTCTCAACTTGGACTCCGTTCAATTGAAGCTTTGCATCGAAATGTGGGTCACGACTAAACACTAAAACTTGGTTTTGTTTGAGTTTACTTTATTGCTCATTTCCTCTCCTACCTGGTTAATAGGATCAAGCAGAATTTGAAAACCTTTAATATTATCTGATAAAATTAGTGTATCGTCTCCATATCTAATCACATTAAGTAGTTCACCGTTGATTTTTATTCCATATGGTAGTCTCTCAAGTGCCTTTCTTCGTCTTCAACCTTCTGACTCCTCGTTGTATAGAGATGTCATCGGTGTAGTTATCTTCAATTTTCACGATATCAGTTTGATTCCAGTACAAATTTTTAATGACAAGAAATATCCTTGTCATGTATTCCGATATTTTTTGTTATTTGCATGCATATTTTTTATTATTAATTTTACATGCTGTACTTTATTGAATGCCTTTTCGAAGTCCACGAAACATGCAAATACATCTTTTCTTTGGTCACGACATTTTTGTAATAGGATGTTAAGCGCAAAAAGTGCCTCCCTGTTTCCCATAGCATTTCTAAAACCAAATTTGGTATCTTTTAGACGCATTTGTGTCTAATTCTGTTGTGAAGTATTCTTAGGAAAATTTTAAGAGTGTGGCCCATAAGGCTAATTAATCGATATTCGGAGCATTTTCTCGCATTGTGTTTTTTAGGTATTGCGACAAAAATGAATTTGAGCTAATCTGTGGGAATCACTCCGGTGTTATATATTGAATAAGTCTTACTACTACTTTTATGTTATCATTCTCATATGTTTCAGCAACTCAGTTGGTGTATCATCTGGACCACAAGCTTTTCTAATTTTAACATTATTTATAGCGTGTTCTACCTCTCATTTCATAATTTCTGGGCCATCAGTACAGTTTTGGTAGAATTCGGCAATATTATTCCTATTATCTTCAAACAACTCTGATATATACAGCTGCCATTCTTTTCTTATTTCGTGCTCATTTACAAAAATGTTGTTAATATTGCCAACGAGGACAGAGAGAACTCGTTTTTTAAATATGTAACTCATTTCGTTTAGTTTTTTGTGTACATCCTTCATTTCGTCGCACCTTTCTCTCATCCATTTTTCTTTGGCTAATTTGATCTCCGTTTTATTCTTCTCTGCAGGTGTCTATTCTCTGTTTCATTAGATTTTATCAGTCGACGTTGTTCCATTAATTTTAAGATATCGTCTGTCATCCATTTATTTTTCTTGAATAAGTTTTTTCTATAATTAATGTTTGTGCAGATTTCGTTAACTTGATTTTTAAATTTACTCCATAGTTCTTCTGGATCTTCTAGTTGTTCTCCGATGTTTTTTATTCTATTGTTAAATTCTTTTTTAATGTTATGTTTTATGTTTATATCGTCAAAGTTAAGTACATTGGTTTTTGGTTTTTGTCGCTGAATTTGTTTTAACCTTATTTAATATCTGCTACAAGCGGTTGATGATGAGATCCAATATCTGCCCCAGGAAATGGAGTGATTTTTGACGGATTTTCGGAAACACTCATTTACAAGTATATAGTCTATTTCATTTCTTGAAGACTCAGGTTATTGCCATCATCAAATGGGGCTTTCCAAGTATATAGTCGTCGCTTGGGTAGTTTATACCAGGTGTTTGCAATGATCATCGTTTTTTTTTACAAAATTTATACAATCTCTGTCCTCGATCATTAGGCTGTCCTAAACCATAAGAACCTACAGTCTGACCTCGTCGACCTTCCCCAATTTTTGTATTGAAGTCGCCTATAATATATAAAATTTCGTATTTATTAAGTTTCTGTAAGATGTCTTGGATCTGATCATACAACTTCTCGACTTCATCGTCATATTTTCTATCTGCAGGCGGGGCATAGATTTGAAGTATGTTAGTTTTAAATGGTTGAGTATTTATTTGGAGTAATAATATTCTATCCGAGACTGGTACGAAATTTGTCACATATTTACTCAGTTCTGATGTTACCAATATGCCTACATCATTTTTGTGATGCGGGTTTTCTGTGCTGTTACCGGAATAAAATATTACACTTGCGTCCTTTTTACATGATCCTGACTCTGGCGATCTCGTTTCGCTGATTTCTAGTACGAACGAACACTAATAATATCAAAAAAGAAAACTCCATGGTTTAGAGAGATATTAAAGACAAACAGTAAAGTAAAGAAGAAAGTAATTTTACAATACAGAACATAACAAACACAACAGGCATACAACTACTATAAACGAATCAGGAATGAAACGAATACGAAGACAAATAAAAAGAAAACACTAGTAGAGCTTCTCAAAACAAATGAAACACGACTATTATGGAGTACAAAAAAAATATGGATCAATGGACAAAGAAAAAAAATGAACAAACTAATAAAAACGAATCAAATTCAAAAACAAGCAGACTACTTTTGATCTTTATTTGCTAAAGCTGACGATAGTGTACCACCAACATCAAAGGTGACGTCAAACGAAGAAATACATTTTGAGAAGGAAGAAGGTAAAGAAAGCATTAAAAAAATAAAAAAAATTTAGATTTACTGAAGATCATCAGCGAGTTTTAATTCAAATATAATTGACTTGGTTTATAGACCTATCTCCGGGACTATTCCATGTACAGACTCGTTTGTAGTAGACTTCTTTCACCTATGCCAAATTATCTAAATTTATCCTATAATACAGGATTATGTGTGAAGTTGCCAAATTTTACCGTAAAGGAATTACCGGATTCTTTTTTGGAATTACCGGAATAGTTGTCTGTAATTTTACGTAAATTCTTCACACATATTGTTTGTACTATATTGCTACAGAAATGCCTACATTAGTCTATTTTGCAACCTATGCATCAATTAGAACACATTTGGTTGGGAAATTTCATAAAACTAAAAAAGTCGCTAAATCACGAGAAATTTGTAAATTTTTTTTAAAAATCTATGTATGATGGTAATTTGAAAATAGGTTCTTTAGTACTCCACACTATATTTACCTTAAAACTATTTCATCCTTTAATGGGTATGCAGTTGTGGTATACTGTTCCAATCTAAGAAAAGGTTCTTCTCTTCCAAGACGATGCACTACTTGATTTCTGTCAACATAGAATCCTGAAGAAAATGCTTTTACGCAGTTTTCTGAAACATCATAGTGAGGAGCATTTCTGTCATATAATACACAAGACATTACGTTAACTATAATTTTGGATGTGGCCCTGTAAATATAGACATGTCCTTTCTTTATAATTGGCCTGGAACATACCTGTGCCTCAGTTTTTATATCATACACAATGATTAGTAGAAGAGACAGGACAATTTTCATTCTAAAAATTAAAAAAAAATTAATGAGGGACTTAAAACTATAAGTTAGCTTTTTAATAGCAAGACTCCTGTAAGCAGAAACTTATTATTGTAAACTTATTACAAATGGAAATACAAATAAAAATAATAGCTATTGAATATCTTAATTATTGGTCCTTCGTTGTATTCATCCGTCTCGAAGGACTAATGAAAAAAGCTGAGGTTGAAGAAGTTCTTCGGCAACATCACAATGATGTATTAAAACTAAAAAAGAATTAGAAATTTTTTTATAATAGAAGAGAACAATAATGTTTGGTCACGCATGTTATCCAGCACATTTATTTAAAATAAAAATACTTGAGAGGATCTTTGCGAAGCCTGTAATAAAATCGGTGATCTTGACCACATCGTTTTTGATTGTTTAAAATATGGAGCTCAATCTAATGAGCTTTTCAGTAAACTTTTAAAATTAAACATTAAAAGCCCATTTAATATACTGCATCTTCTTGCTTTAGATAAAAAAGAAATTTACGATTGTTTGCTGTCTTTCGTTAGAACAATGAATATACAAATATAACCACCTTTGTTAATTCCTTATGTCTTTCCTTAATGTATGCATACCTATCTGTCCGAGGCCTACCTTTTATCGTTTATAAAAATGCCCTGATCGACCCCTTTTTAAAAATTTGTGTCTGGCTGTGTAAGCATTTACCCTAAAGCCAAAAAAAAAAGAGAACAAAAAAAATTTTAATAAAAGAAACCATTAAAAAGGAGATAGAAGTAGAACCTTTCAAAATTTTAGAATCAGAACAAAACATATAAAAAAATAGTAGAGCGTAGTTTGCAGTCAATGGACAACTCCACGTACAGTCGTTATTACACAGTGCTTATGAATACGATACCCAAGCAAGGAAAAGGAGAAAAAAGTGACAAAATAATAGAAAAAAGCTCTTAACTTACGATGACATCGACGCGTAGGATATGTAGTCTGGTCTGGTCGAAAAATTAGATATATTGTATAAGCAACTTGCGGGATTAGATAGCCAGTCAACACTATACAGTGTTTTTCAGATAAAACTATCCACCTTAAATAACTTTTGAACCTCTAATTTTTTGGAAAAACGCAAAAACACTTTAATTAATATCTGAAGGGGGAGGCATAATATCATATTTAAGGTTGCTGGAAAATGCACCCTCTCACCCCCTGTACCAACCATTAATTTTTTTTAAATTACTTCCCCCATTTTTTATTTTATATTTAGATTCTCCTTTTTGTACTGATTTCAGAAATGTATAATACATGATACTTGAAGTGATTAGTTTATGAGAAAAGTAAATACAAAAGCAAGAAAATTGGATTGAAAAAAAAAATATATTTTTTAACAATTTTATTACACACATTTAGAACAAACATTTCACTACTAAAAATTTTTACAATAATTGTTCAAAATGACTGCCTTTCACTTCCATACAATAGTACAATCTATTTTGAAATTCTTCTCTGACATTGCTTAACACGTCTGCATTTAATTGTCGACATTCATCCTATATTCTTTTTTGTAAATCATCTAGATATTCTGGTTGAGTAGCATCATTTCTGTTTTTAAATACTCCCATAAGTAGAAGTCTAGGGGTGTTCAATCCGGTGACCTAGGTGGCCAATCGATCATCTGTCGTCTTTTACCTATCCAAGGACCGGGAAACGTTTCGTTGAAATACAACCAAATCATCGGAAAGGTTATCATCATTTGCTACTATTGTTCTAACGATCAACCACTTGCCTATATAATTCAAGATACGATGCACCATTTAAGTTTCCAGTGATAAAGAAGGGTCCGATAATGTGATTACGTAGGATACCACACCATAGGTTTAACCTTTGAGGATGCTGTGTGTGAACCGTTTAATGAGAATGAGCATTCATCCGAGAAGAAAATATTGTTTAACAATTCTGGATTGTTAATGATGCATTTTATCATTAATTCGCAACATTTGGGACGACGATCAAAATCTTCTTTATTTAACTCTTGTACTAATTTAATTTTATATGGATAAAACTTAAATTTATGGAGGACTCGGAAGACTGTAGAAGATGAAACACCGATTGTTCTGCTTATTGTTGACAGTGACTGTGATTGTTAAGAGTCTAAGTTAACTTGCACTAAAACAGCTACTTGGATTGCTTTTTTATTTACAAGTTCCTGTCGGTTATGTTTTTTATTGCAAACTGACCCTCTTGATCTAATTTTTTCTGCATCAGTTCAATCACACACTTATGAGTTGCATGTCTATTGTGGTGTGTTTCATTAAAAATTCTTGCAGCAGCTCTTGCACAATTATTATTTTTGTAGTATAAACCTACAATTTCGATTCTTTCTTGCAAAGTGTACACCATTTTAGCGATCAAATTGCACACGTATCAAAATAAGATGTTACTTACAAGTTATAACAAATTGTCGCTATTAACCGATTAAAACAAATGTAAAAATGATATCAAAAACCTTTGATAAAACTTGAATAAAAAGTGAATTTTTTTGTTTCTTGGTTTTTAAAGGTACTACAAATAGTACGGTTAAATATTTAAAGAGTTTAAATTATGCTACAACCTATTTTGTTAGAGTCAATTAAGGTGAGGGAGATACTGTCTCGTTAACAGGAAAATTGTCTATCTGATAAACTAATCACTTCAAGCCAAAGGTATTATACATTTTTTAAATCAGAACAAAAAGGAGAATCCAAATATAAAACAACAAAAGGGGGAAGTAATTTAAAAAAAAATAAAGGGTTGATACAGGGGGTGAGAGGCTGTATTTTCCAGCAACCTTTAATATGATATTATGTCTCCCCCTTCAGATATTAATTGACGTGTTTTTGCGTTTTTCCAAAAAATTAGTGGTTCAAAAGTTATTTAAGGTGGATAGTTTTATCTGAAAAGCACTGTATATTGAATAGAGCTGTTTCTTAGACAGGCAGCAATACTTCAAGAATCGTTAGTCATAAATAAATTTCCCTTCTATTAGTGCACAAAAATGTGTCATATAAAGTGTGTCATATAAATCGATAGTAAAAACACTTTTAATAGGAAAGTCTAGGCCCTTTCTTATCAGTGAATCTGCTACATCTAGAAAAAAAAACGATCAACCATTATGCGTAACTCAACAACATCCCGTCATTACAAAAGAATCCTGCCCCATCCTCACAAAACCGACAACACGTTAACTATTACAATTAAATCGGAAATCAAACTTTTGGAAATCAACACAAATTGCTTTTGAGAATTTCTGATTATCTTAAAACCCAATGTCGCCTATAGGAGATATTGGATTTTAAAGATGGCTGCCATGAAAAAAGATTTTTATTATTTTTTTTCTTATTTTGATGCGTAATGTAACATAAAACACACCGAAATATAGACATTAAAAAACAAAAAATTTCTGTGACTAAGGAGGTTATGGGGAGGTTTAGGGGCGGCACCAATCAATGCCAAGATAAAAGAGCATAGGTTAAGGTGGTTTGTTCATGTTCAGCGTCGAGATGGTAGTCACTCAGTACAAACAATTGCTGATTTGTATCTTCTTGGGACGATAAGAAGAGGAAATCTAAAGAAGACCTGGAGGGAGACTCTTAATCAAGACATGTCACTAAGGAAGATTGATATTGGTGTGACTCAAGATATAAACTTGATGAAAAATGAAGTTAGCAAATATAAAGTTTTGATGACAGAACTGAATGTACTAAATAAGTGTAAAAGTAACAGATCTAATGGAACAATATAAAATTAAAACAGTTGATAATATATCTCTCGGGGGAACCTGTAACCCCTAGAGAGCGGGTCCCAAGGTGGCGGATAGGGGCATGCCCGACTCGGTTTACCGGTGAGTAGGAGGGAAATAAAATACCTCCAGTGGACCAACAGGTAATTCACCGAATGATTGCCGGTATAAGCAATCCCACCATTTATTGTCCAACGGCTTCGAGCGGATGAGCTAGTGGAAGGGCACTATTTTGTCCTGACATCGAGAAATCGGTCTCGAAGGCGGAAGAACCAAGGATGGTCTACGGCGAAAGGATGCAGAAGGCAACGGGGAACAACTGCATGAAAGACTCATAGAGTACTCATAGTTAAGTCATTATGGTGTACACCAAAAATACTGGAAACCCTAATGATCATGGGAATAGGATACCAAGATCCAGCAGAGTAAGAAAAACACAAGACTACAAGGCTTACTTGGTTGTAAACATGCGAAATCCTTGTACAAGAGCGCAGAAACCAACAACTTTAAGAGTTGAACGTGGAATGTTAAAAGTTTGTTCTCTGCAGTAAAACTGGATAATGTTCAACAAGAATTAAATAGACTAAACATCGGTATTTTAGGAATCAGCGATACACAAAGACAAGGATCTGGGAAATGTTCAACACGAAATAATAGCTTATTTTATTACTCTGGAATCGACAACAACACCCATTGTTACGGAGTTAAAATCGTCATTTCAAAGACATGGAAAAATGCTCTGATTACCTGTACTCCTTATTTAGAGCGCTTAATACTAATACAAATTACAGAAAGACATAATAAAAACTTAATAAATCTTATTCAAGTCTATGTACCAACAGCAGATAAAGATGACAATAAAATAAAACAATTTTACAACGATTTAAAAGAAATGCTGAAAACAACAAAAAAACATAATAATGGGCAATCTTAATGCCAAGATGGGTCAAGGTAAGGTAGGAGAACAAGTAGGAAACTATGGACTTGAAAACAGAAATGACAGGGGAGATCGATTTATTCAATTTTGCGAAAGCGAAGACTTTGTAATAACAAACACCTTTTTCAAATTACCTCCTCGACGGTAATATACATGGATATCTCCACAACATGCCAAAGAAAAAATAGTAAGAAATCAAATAGACTACATTATGATAGCAAGGAGGTATCGTAATGCTATTAAATGTACTAAGACGTACCCAGGAGCTGATATAGGCTCAGATCATAACCCGGTAGTTACTGTGATAGAGAC